AGACTACGGCGCACCCCCTCCGCGGCACGCGCCCCGGCTTCACAAGCGCCAGGGGTCCAGAGGTCGGCCTCCGACGGGCGGCCTGGGTGGCGGGTATCTTTTTCCAGACCGCCCTTGGGCCAATCGGGTCTTCGCAAGGCGGCAGCCCGCGGGCCTGGCGCAGACTCTCGGAGGCAGGGTCGCCAGCAGCCCTTATTCCCACAGGTAGCTGCAACCCTGCCGGGCACTGCAGCTCTCAGCTCCGGGCTGCCCAGGGACCACGCTGCTCACTGGCTGTGGAAGCTGCAGCCCTGGGGAGCCGGGGTCTCCTCCCGTTTCTGTCCCACAGCCAGAATCTGATTCTTGCACTTATCGTTTCGAAGGCACGAGTTTTGCCCCTCGCACAAAAGTTTGTTTCTTTCATCTGCGCATTTAATAAACAAACTTAGCCGTATCACATGAGGCTCTTTCTAAAGCAGTTCCACTGTTCAAAACTGAAAAATGGGTGTAATTCGCTTTCAGAAAGTGACGTTAGGGTCACGGCAATTTCAGGCCATTATTTATTTTTTCTTTAACGTCTTTAAGGAAGATTTGCTTATATACTCGGGAAACCTTCCAATGCGAGAATACCAGCAATCCCGCTCGCCTTCAGCTCGGGAGGGGGAGGAGGGAGGTGGAGAACAATTACTGAGTGACGCTAATATGGGGAAACTGAAAAGAAATGTCGATTGTTTTTATTGTAATAGAAGGAGTGAGCAAACAGAAAAACCAACCCGGGGTGATCGGAAACAGGCAGAGGAGAATTAAAAGCGGGTTTCAGGCCGCAGCAGGCCCCTCCCCTGCCCTGGGCAGGAGAGCGCGGGCGCGGAGCGCTGCAGCCCGCGGGGCAGACCCCACAGCCCGCCGCGCTCGCTCGGGCGGCCGCGCAGGGACCGCGAGAGCTCCGCGCGCTGCTGCAGGCGCCGTGGCCGCAGCAGCCACTTCGCGCGGCCGGGGAAAGACTGGAGTCCCGAGGCTTGTCGGTGGAAAGGCTAAGCGGCCGCGAGGCGACTCTCCGAGCATCTTCGGACTGCGACTGTCCCTGTGACTTCTCCTTGGGCCGATTCGTCGGAAACCACGCCGAGTCCTGGCAGGCAGGTCAGTGTCTGTGCGCCGCGCATTTCCCCGCCCCACTCTGGCCTGGCCAAAGCCACTGACTGGAGCAACCTGTGTGTGTGTAGGGGGGTCTCTTTCTTCAGCTCCCCGCGTTGGTTCGCTTTAGCCTTGGCCCCTGCCTGAGGCTTCAGGAGCTGATCGGCTTTGGGCGAGCAGCCCAGGGGGGACCCATTCTGGCCTTGAGCACGGGGCACACTTCTGGCTGCCACTTGCCACGCGACTGACCTGAGCACCTTGGGCGGAGGAGCCACCGTTGACTCCGAGAGGGCCCAGTTCTGGAGAGGCCCGGTCTCCAAGCAGTCTCCACTCAACCGGCAGAGTCATTTCTGTGGGGGAAAAGAGTCCGTTTTGCCTGTGCCCACCATTTTCACTTGATTGGCTGGAAGAAGTCGCTATACGCTGCAAATCTCTTGTCTTGAAATCGTGGCTGCTTCTTGCGCCACCAAACTCATGGCAGGAGAAAAGCAGACACAGTCACCTGGGTCTTATGTAGGGTCCGGTGCATCCTCAGCAGGGGTGCAAAGTGAAGCAACAACCTCTAAATCTGCTCATCATAACTGCAACAGAGAACAGGACACACACACCTTCGCCTTCCATCTGCTGTCTTTCACCAGCCTGCATGCCCTGGGAATCTGGTGTCAGAACAGGTTAGGGACCCGGCAGACCTTCCTGTGTCCCACAGGGTCTGCAGCCCGGGTTCCTACCTGGGTAGTCCTCGGGTGCCCTCAGACATCCACTGAGGGCGGCCTTGGAAGGCGCCTGATTCCAGCACCTTCTCCGCAGACCCTGCTAGTGCTGGGAGGGGTGCACCACAGATCACAGCCCCCTGACACTGGACCACCGACAGATTTATGGAGACTTTACAGCATCTGGTCTGGGAAAGGGTGGAGTCCACCAGAGGAGAAGCATGACAGAAGCTAAAACTCCCCCAGCCTTATCCCTGGCCCAGATGCCCATGGGGTCCTGAGCCCGGCACCCTGCAGGCTAGTGTAAGCACCCTGCAGGCTAGTGTACACGGTACCCAGCCAGTGCCAAGTGTGTGGATTCCTCCTCCCGATTAGCCTCATCGCTCACACTCTGAAGTCCTGCTGGCTTCCAGTCCCCCACTGAGTAAATATTTACCCAGAAAAGGGGTCACCCCTGGTAGGAGGCTCTGATAGTGCTCAAGGAAAGGCTTTTGGTTTCTCCCTGGCCTGAGCCAGCTGTAGGCCTTACAGGTTGTGTTTTGGTTTTAGTCTTAAATTTCCTCCCTCAGCCGAAATTCTTCCAGCTCCTGTGTGATTTCCTGGATTTGGAACAGGCAGTAACTAAGGGGAGCTGCCCCTTCCTGACTTTTACTCTGTCTCAAAGTTTTACATTCCTGTGCCTACAGGGGTTCACTGGATCAGTCTCTTTCCCTGTTCCCCCTTGTGTCTCCATCTCTGTCCCTCCGTTTTTCCATTCCCCAGATCCATTGCCCTCAGCGGGTCACTGTCTACTTCACCCCTACACTTGGTGTGCACCCAGGGAAGTACCAGCCTTTCCTGCTGAGATTTGCTCAGGTCCTCACCTGCTTGTTTGGCTTCTGTTGTTGTCCGAGTGTGAGTCTTCTATTACCTGGGATAACAGGTAATTAACAGCCCAGAATGCCTACGACTGATTCTTTTCTTGCTCTGGAGGATGTACCCTGACCAATAGGTTAAGTTGGATCTGCAGGACACCGAAATGATGGCATTTCTGTCCAGTGCGATGCTGCCTGAGTGAGCCCCAGCAGTTAAGGCCAGCCATGTGTGGCGACAGCAAGTCCAGCAGGTGGAATAGGAGAGATGGGAATGAACCTGTGCCACAGCACAGAGATGTGTGGCAGCTAAAGAGGTCAGAGAAGACAAGAGGATGCTGTGTGTTAGCTTGAGCGCTGAACCATATGGGGCACTGGAGCACTCCTGACTAGTCGTTAGACCTTTCGAGGAAAATGGATCTTGCCAACCTTTAGACTTAATGACCTTGTCCTGTACTCGCATAGCAGTCATCCCAAAGGCACAAATCACTCATTGGGGTAAAGAGCTTAGAGGTTGCTGCTGACAGTAATGGGTCTTCAAGAGAAGAGGGATTCCTGATTAGGTTGCAGAGTAGGTTCACTCTTCTGCGCAAGCTTCAGACAAAGCTCTAAACTCCACTGAGATATTGCAAAGTTTCAATCTTTTTCACAATCCGAAAAAGAAATTACTACTTCTAAAGTCTTGGATTTGGGAAGGTCCTTCCTCACTGCATAGCACTAGACAGTGCCATACAACAGGTTTTGAGGGCCAAAGCAGGGTAAAATTGCTTTCAAATGGAACTTTGAGAATATCTTAGACCCTGGAAACCAACCAACAAACTAAAAGGGATGAAATCAAATATTTCTAGCTGTGAGACTTTTTGCAAGATCTTGATAGTAATCTAATTAAATTTGAATTCAGCATCATCTCAGCCACAGAAGAAGCACAGCTGGTTCTAACAGAAGTTGTCCCTTCCACCAGCATAATCTAACACAGAGCGTGAGGAACTAAACATCAATTTGCATTTCAAGAAGTAAAACCGATGAGTTTTCCCCTATGTTCTTGTCACTTTCTGAGAAGTGATCTGGGGTCAGTCAGTTTCCTTGAATGTAGACCTGAGCCACACACGTCCCTGGGGACTGTGGGAAGATAAGCACCCCCCTGGGGAGACAAGGGCCAGGTAGAGTTATTGCTATCCTCACCCACAGTACTGCAAACTCTCACATTCATTAAAAAGTCCCTCATCTTGTTCATTATTTTGTCCACATTTTCCACAATCTTCTACTTCACTTATAAATAAATTTGGCCACCCAAAAGCATACTGTCCACTATAGATTAGACTTATAGTGAATGAACGAAAATGAAAATTTAGAAGTAGGCAGATCCGCAGGGCCCCTGGTATCTAAACAGAAGTCTCAGGAGTTACATACAAGCGCAGCCTCGCTGTCCATCTCTTTGAGACCAGATCTTTTTCATGTTTAAACAAAACTCCTTTGTGATGGTTCACTGATTTGGAGAACTTCTGCAAACTCTGGCAGCATGGATCCCTAGTCCTGCATGGTGGTTGAGTGTCGCAGAAGGCTGGGCTGTGTGCTGAGTGGGTCCTTCGATCCACATGGCGTTCTGGGCAACTTCAACCGCAGGTGCCTGAGTTTCCCCGGCACAGGATGCGGCCTCCTGCCTAGATCCTGCGTTGCTAAGCGCTGGCTTGCGCTCCAGGACTGGCCACTGGAGGTCCGCGCGAAGCTGGCTATAGAGTGGACCTCCTTGGGCCTCAGTGGGCGTCATCCTGGGCCTTCGCACCTCTGGCCCGGCCTCTGCTCAGCCTCCTGGTCTCTCCCACTGGCCCACCTTTCCATATCTGCGCGCTCCTCACTTGGAGTAGACTGAAAAGAAGTAACTGAGGTCCCCACTTGACGCCTCCTGAAGGCCCACAGGGCAGGTTATTATTTAAAATACCCCCACCTATGTATACTGCGGCGCCCCCCTCCACCCATAATTTAAGCATCATTAATTAGATAGCCCTATTTCTTCGCAAGAAGTCTCCTCCCTCAGCCCCTACCCTCTTTGAGTTACTCATATTCAGACCAACCGCTTTCCTTTGCTAATTCAGCATTTTAACCAGACTTATTTGGTTGTGTATTTGCGCCGGTCCTGGGAAGATGTCAAACACCCGTTTTCTTTGTATTTAGTCATCCAGGTGCGGAGCCAGCCTGAAAAAGACAGCGGAAGGAATTTTCCGGACTGCGCTGCCGCTCACAGGCCTGCACCAATCACCAAGCAGTTCGCCCTCGGGCCCGCCTCTTTAGGGGTGTGTCCCTAGTGAGTGATAGACAGAGCCTCCCGGCCCAGCTCAGCCCAGCCCACGTTGCTGCTGAGATTGAAATGCAGAACTCAAGCCTCTTTCATCGGGGCACAGACTTCCTTTTACTCTTTCCTTTTGCACTCGTGCCTCCTCCTCCCGGGGAGAACCTAAGATACCGGCAGCCCGGAGCACCGACAAGCCGGGCCACTGAGGCCAGGAACAAAGTTTCTTCCTGGCAGTGCAGAACTGGGGCCGGGTTGGTGTGCTGCTCGGAGCAATGGGTGAGTGGCTGCGGGGGCTGCTGTCAGAGCCGGAGTGGGAGGGAGCGGGCGAGCGGGCGGGCGCGCGAGGGCGCGCTCGGAGGAGCGCGCTCGGCTCCGTGTTGACTTTGCTCTTGTTCCTACAAGTTGAAGGAACTGGCCAAGGGTCAGAGGCTTGCGGTGGTTCCGTGCGAACGCTGGCTACTGGGTTGCTGTTGATGCCATTTTCTGATTTTGAGAAAAGGCAGCTGTGGCATCAGCGAGCCCCGCAGCTCCAGGAGCAATCCCAATTTCATTTCACACACACACACACACACACACACACACACACACACACACACACACCCGAAAAACTCCTCCAGGCTAACAACAGCGCGCATCTCGGGACGCAGCGATGGAGACCGGGTGGTGGTGGAGAGGAGAGGAGAGGAGAGGAGAGGAGAGGAGAGGAGAGGAGAGGAGGCCCAAGGACTTCAGGATCGAGGGGCGATGTGGGGCGCGTTCAGGCGTCTGGACGGATTTCTCCGCCAGCTTCTGAGAACCTCAAAAGTCCGAGCGGGGGCTGCGTCTCAGCATTTTATTTGCTGCCCCCACCGCAGGAATGAGGAAGGGGTCCGTGCTGACCTCAACTTCCACGGGGCTGTTCAGCGAAGTGCGGGACCTTAGGGTTAGGGGACAGCCCCCGTCCTAAGTCGGGGCGGTTCCTTAGCCCGGCCCCTGGACGCGGACGGAGGCCAAGTGGCAGGCAGTTGTCCCAAGCGGCGGTTGCGCGTCCCTGCGCGCTGTGTGTTCCTTTCGCAGAGCCAGCCTTCGGGGAGGTGAACCAGCTGGGAGGAGTGTTCGTGAACGGAAGGCCGCTGCCCAACGCCATCCGGCTTCGCATCGTGGAACTGGCCCAACTGGGCATCCGACCGTGTGACATCAGCCGCCAACTCCGGGTCTCGCACGGTTGCGTCAGCAAGATCTTGGCGCGCTACAATGAGACGGGCTCGATCTTGCCTGGAGCGATTGGGGGCAGCAAGCCGCGGGTCACCACTCCCACCGTGGTGAAGCACATCCGGACCTACAAGCAGAGGGACCCCGGCATCTTCGCCTGGGAGATCCGCGACCGCCTGCTGGCCGACGGCGTGTGCGACAAGTACAACGTGCCCTCGGTGAGTTCCATCAGCCGCATTCTGCGCAACAAGATCGGCAACTTGGCCCAGCAAAGCCATTATGATTCGTACAAGCAGCACCAGCCGGCGCCACAGCCTGCGCTGCCCTACAACCACATCTACTCGTATCCTAGTCCCATCACGGCGGCGGCAGCCAAGGTGCCCACGCCACCCGGGGTGCCTGCCATCCCTGGCTCGGTGGCCATGCCGCGCACCTGGCCTTCCTCGCATTCTGTCACCGACATTCTGGGCATCCGCTCCATCACCGACCAAGGTAAGGGCTCAGAGACCGGACTTGAGGATGTGCACGGCGTGTCCCCAGACTCCCGGGGGAATCCTATTATCTGCGGCCTGCCTGGCCCGGGTCGATGCCACCACTTGAGGCTTTTTCCTTTGGAGTCATAAGGAGTCTTCCCAGGGGGTGTCCTGATCTCATTAACTTGAAACTTTTGCCCCTGGTTTCCTTGCCACACACAGTCTCTCCTGCCTCATCTCAAACTACCAGACCCATAACATCCCCCATCCCCAACACATGGTTCGCATTTTCCACCCTGCCCCGCCTCTCGCGCCGCGGCAGTCTCAGCCGGGCTTGCTCACAGCAGCGATTGCCCGAGCCAACCAGAGGCGCTGCCCGGGAGGGCCCAGTCGGTTTGGGGCAGTCGGCAGCAGATGCCTCTGGAGCAGCTTGCTTGCGATCAGATGCAGCAGCTAAGAGTCCCATATGATGTGGAAATTGTAGTATTCTCGGATTCTGGCAATCAGGCTAAATTTGCTCAGGCAGGAAGTTCAAATGTCACCTAATTGGTTTCATTCTTATGCCTCACTTCATTTTCCTCGGAAACCCAGGTCCTGGTTGCTAGTAACATGTTTGTAATCTCTCTCCCCGCCTCTGTCTTTCTCTTCCTTCCTTCCCTTTTTTCTCCCTTCCTTCTTTCCTTCTTCCTTCTTCTTTCCTCCTGCTGTGTCCACTCTGAAGAGACATCACCATCACAAAATGACCAAGACCAAATGTAAGAGGGTAAAGAATCCAAGTGTTCTTTTTCACTGTTCTCACCTGCTTTTCCTAAGCCTTCAGCTTTCCTTTAGGGTCCTCTTGGTCCCTGGCATTTCAAGTGGACCACCTCCTGAGTCCTTTTCTTTCTTACCCCTGACTTTGCTGTGTCCTGAGCATCTTTTCTGTGGTGACAGAAGGATGCCCAGAGCCCTCCTGTCCAGTCTGGCTACTTTAGGAGACCTGGCTTTGTTTTCTTTTACTGCATAGTTAAAATATAAAAGAGTGTTAACTTCTTTTCTTGGTAGGGTAAAAAGAATCAAAGTACTTTAGACGAGGAGGAGATAAGATAGGCTACCTTCTTAATTTCTCAGTGTAAAGTTTAAAAACTGAAGGGGAAAATAGACAAAAGACAAATGGTTCTTCTAATTATTTCCTGCTTTTTGCAATTGCCAACACATTGGCACAATTATGTTTTTCGATAATTAAAGCAGAGCCTTGATTTCTCATATTCTTGTTTTCTGCCTGTGAATTTACAAGAGCCAGTTCTGTCTTATTTGGAGCTCACTAGAGCTTAGGTTGGAGAGAGTTTGCCCTTGATTTATAGGATAAACTGACCTCACTGACATTTAAAGGAAGCCCCTGTTCATGGGAAAGTGTGAGATCAGCAGAAATGAGGCTCACAGGGGGATCTCAATTTCTTAAGATAACTTCAGGCTTGTGCCCACCGACTGCCTTTTGTCTGGGAAGGCAGAAAAGAGTCAGGCAGTTTTGTACCAAAACAGTTTCCTGGTGCAAAAAATAGGAACACAATTTCTTGGGAGGGGGGGTAATGGTGACAAAAGGCTGACAGAGATGAAAAGTTTTCTCTAGGGAGCCTACAATCGGACCAACTATCAGTCGAGGAAATATTGGATTATAGAGAAGAGCAACTCTTCCCTGTTGCTATTGCTGATGATTCTGGAGACTGGCTCTAAGCAACTTGCTTACTGACAAATCTGCGAACATAAAACAAGGATTTGTACAAAATGAACATCCCTTCTAAGCTCTTTATCAGATGAAAGTGTTTAAAATCAAATCATAGTTTTGTCAAATGTGGTCCTTCTGCCCATAGGACCTGGAGATAATAATATATTGTGTCTAGTCTTCAAATATTTCCTTTTTAAAATTACACTTGGTCACTTAAAGAAGTCAGTGATTTGGTATGTACAACATACTGTACTATGTAGGTTTCCTTACATCTCCAGCAAGAAAAGAAAAGGTAACTGTTTTAACTCCTTTTCTTAACACTTAATTTTACTTCCATTTTCTTAACATTTTATTTAATTTTCTCTTCCTTGTCCTTAAAAAAAAACATCTCCATAAGACCCTGCCATTGCCGCTCATGGTATTCACAGTGGCAATTACAAGATTTACTTTTTAGCCTCACATTCTTAATGTGTAGAGGCAAAGCTTGCAGAGTAGACCTAGGCACACACAAGGCAGAGATCCACGCATGTATATTTTGCACGTGTATTGTGCACATCATTTTGTTGTTTGTAAAGGACTTTGAGGTCTTTTGTTTTGTCTGTTGACATAAATGTCATCCCCACAGTGCGGTGAGCACTTTTCTGATTGTCTCTGAGCATAAGCCAAGGCACCCTTAGGTCTTGATGCTCTATTTGCAGCCTGTCCCAGTCCCAGATCTTTGTGACCCTCCCTCCCGTCAGCCCAAAGTTGGGATTGGAAAAGTGGAGAACAGAACATCCAACTTCATGGGCTCTTTACTTGATTTGGGTTTCTTCCACTTATTTCTCTGGGGAAACTCAGGAAGGGAGAAGGGAAATCAAAGCTCACTGAATAAGCAAAAACTACTGTATTTTCCTGCAGACTTGGGTGAGGCAACTGAGAGAGGCCTGCTCTCAGGCCAGTAAAACTCCCCCATATAGCCAGCTGATGCCTGGGAGTCTGCTTCTGAGCCCTCGCGGTGGGGGGAGGCTTAGCCGAGGGGTTGCTCCGAAGAGGTCGCAGCTCCGTGGCTTGGGCGCAGGAGGGGGGCGCGCGGGTTAGGCCTCGGGCCTGACTTCTCTTCCTCCTTCCCTGCAGTAAGCGACAGCTCCCCCTACCATAGCCCCAAGGTGGAGGAGTGGAGCAGCCTGGGCCGCAGCAACTTCCCAGCCGCAGCCCCGCACGCGGTGAACGGGCTGGAGAAGGGAGCGTTGGAGCAAGAAGCCAAGTACGGTCAGGTGAGGAGCCAGGGCTTGGCCAGGTGGGCCGGGGGCTGCGGGGCTGTCAGGGACGGAGGCCCGCAGCCCCCTTCCGAGCCTCCGCCACAGAGAGACGCCCAGGAGCCGGATCCCAGCCGGGGGCTGCAGGCTCCACGCTCGGGCCTGAGGAGGCAGAGCGGAGGCGTCGACCCCCGCCAAGGGCCCCGCACGCCCGGCTCCCCGAGGCGGCGCCCCGCGGGGAGGCTTCGGGGCTGCTGGCCCTTTCCGCCCCTCGCAGCCGGGCTAGAGCTAACCCGCGGGCGGGCTTCCGACGTGCCAGGCCTCTCCGAGGCGCTGGGTCCCGGAGCAGTGCGGGCGCCCGCGGTGGCGTGGCCGGGGACGCCGCGGCCACTGTCGGAGAGCAGCGCGCGCGGTGCTGCGGCGCGGAGGGAAGAGGGGCCAGCGGATAAACCGACGCCGTGCGCGCAGATAAACCGACGCCGTGCGCGCGCCCGCCCCGAGTAAAGGTCACGTCGTAAGCTCCCGAGGGAGAGCACTGAGAAAACCTCAAATTATGCGGACTGGCTGCGGACCGCTTAATTTCCTTTCCCTTCTTCAGTCCTTTGACTCTCCAGAAGAAAAGTGAAAACACTCCTGTTTTTAAAAACCTCTGAGCACTCACTACAACAAAAGCCCGAGGCTGAGTCTGAATTCATGACTATTCTCACTGGAGTCAAGAATTCAAAACTCGTAATGGGACTTTAAGGCAGAGTGAGGTTTTCCTGAGCAGACTTAGGCACCTCTGCAAATTTCTTCATCCCAAACTCCAGTACCAAAGCCTCAAAATATGTATTTTTCGTTTGATTATCTTAAAGTCTTAAAACTTTCAACATTTCCTTGGAAGTCAGCTTCTAAAAATTAAGTGAAACTTGTTATTTTCATTCACTGGGGGGAAATCCTCACGCATTTCTCTAAGGAGCCCGTTTCCACGTCCTCTTCCCTCTCAGTTTTTGTTAAAGCAGGGTGAGAATAGCAGCGATCCCATGGCAAGTATCATAGCAAATAGCACATAGAAGTTCCTTTCCTTAGTCTGTTTCTATTGCATAAACTGCCAATGAGTCACATAAGTAAGTTTGCCATTTTCTTTTACAAAACTGCCATAATTTGCAAAGAAAGGCAGTATGTGCAGTGATTAGGAGTTTTGACCTTCTGGTACCACTGCTTCTTAAGCTATTTAATTCTTTAGAGCCTTCATTTCTTCATCCTTAAAAATCGGAAATAATAGTCCTAACCTCAAAAGGTGTTATGGGGATACAGTGAGATAATGCAGTCATATGAGCCATAGTAAATGTTCATTAAATGTTACCTGTGGTTATAAATGGTGGAGACTGATTTTAAGAATCAGCAGCATTTAAAAGAATGTACTTTGTTTAGAGAGGCCATAGTAAAAATAAAGTCAAGCCATTTTGGTACAAGCAATAGAAAATGTATATAAAGCACTGAGCTTAGAAACAAGCATCAAGTATGTGCTCAGAGCTTTTCATTAGATCATTTCTTGGAATAACATTGTGAAGCATAGAGCTGAAAGATAATCTCTATTTCCCATGCACCGTTAATGAACCCAGTTTATACATGATGTAGTCTTATACAAAACCTTTTATAGTTATTTTCATTTTTACTGTTGACTTATATATCTAGTCTTAAGACTTGTAGAGATATTGTTAATTTATTATGTACTTCAAAATTAATCTGGCAATTTAAGACAAGTTTTAAACCTAGTTTCAAATCTATTCTATGTTACGAACATTAAAATTTGACTAGATTATATACACTAATTTAAAATAATCAAATTACCAGTTTGATAAGAGGAGATAATTTAAAGAAATAGCCAAATCAATATTGCTCTGAATACTTAGGAGAATAAGTTTTTCTTCTGAACTAAAAAGATATTTATATAAAACTATCATTTGAAAAATCCTTAACCGTAGCATACTAATCTTCTGTATTTCCATGTATATAGGTAGGTAGGTAGATAATTTAAATGTTGCAAAGTTTCAAAACCTGAACTTTTTCTGAGTATAATGTAAATCAATGACTATTATGTTTGTCAAAGTAATGTTTAGTGCTGAAGGTATTCTAAGTAGGTTCATAAACTTACGCTGTCTTTTTTTTTTTTTTTTTTGAGCAATTTTGGACTTTGGATATTGATTTCAATGAGGATTAAATTATATCAACACTTGCTCAGAAAAAATGCAAAGATAAAGCATGTTGCATATATGCATGCATTTCTTACCAGTATTCAAAGGGCAGCTTTAATTTTTAGGTACAACTTTTGGAAATGTCGTTCTCATAATATTCTAGCCAAATGATGAACTCAGGTAGCCTTTTTTTCTCTGTATAATTAACAAAACTTGAAAGTATTTGATAAAGGAAAGATCAAGAATTTTGCTTATAATACTTTCAGGGTACTCACAGTTGTTATTAAATAGCGCAGTATTATGATACTAGTTTCATTTTAGTATATAAAGGAGGAAGTTGAGAATTCAGTATCATAGGACTTAGAGCAGATTTTTTGGAAGACATTTGTTAAATTACCAAGCCTGAGTCGCCAGCCGATTATCAAAACTATTGATTAATACAATGGAGAGTTTCTGTTTTCACCTTAAACTGATTTAAGACAGAAAGACACCTGATTCTTACTAGTTAGAATTGTATGCACATTTTAGCTATGTACAGTATATACCTATATTTTGTTTTTGAAAATTAGTTTAGAACACTCCTATTTGTGTTCTTATGCATTAATGTTATTCTGTAGTTGATTTTTTTTTTTTTTTGACCTTTTCCTTTTTATCAGTACCGGGGATTGAACTCACGACTGCCTGCTTGCAAGGCAGGTGCTTATGCCGCTGAGCTAAATCCCCAGCCCCCTTGTAGTTGATTTTTCAGTACCAGGCTGAAGCCCTTATGGTGTATCTCTGAAGATAGAATATTTATTTATTTTAGCTTTTCTTTTCACTTCCTTTTAATATTGGACTAGAAGTCTTTAGATTTAGTAAACTATTTTCTAATTGTGAATGGGCACAGTTTTGTCTGGCTCCTGATGGTTGTGTTGAAAGCATAAAACCTCTATTGAGTACCAACAAATAGCAAAAGCACATTTTACATAGAGAAACATGGGGGTTGGGATACATCTGTCCTTTCACATGGGACTTAGTGAGTTGATGCTTCATTGTGTTCAATCAGTTTACAAATAATTATATGGCCCTTGAAAGCCTATTCACATACTTACTCCAAAAATATGCACTTGTAGTACTCTAAAAGTATTCATTTTGGATTTGTATATTTTAAGTCAGCAAGTTTCATATTAGTTAGAAATTGAGATGTCAATAATATAGTCTATAAATAGTTGAACTTAAACCAGTTCAGAATTTTAAAATTTGTAAAGAGGGTTGAACTGAAAGGCATGATTTAATCTGAAATTATTATGAAGCATTCACTAGTACATTGTGTTTGAAATGAAGATAATATTTCAGAATAATGAATGTAATTTTATAGTGCATTATTTTTAAAGCAGGCTGTCCTCGGGAACATACTGTTCTCATGAAGATACAAATAAAGTCGCACTGAATTTTTTCTGAGGCTAACTTTTGCTAAATAATTTATGATTTTATAGAGAATGAGATCTTAGACAAATGCAAATAGTCTTTGAAATTCATAATACTATTATGAAAAATACGCTTTGAACTAGTCTACTTTAAACCAGTCGTATTTTAATATAAAATTAATTATCTATCAGTAAAATGTCATATAAAATAATAAGAAAAGATAATTTTAAATTCTGAATGTTCTTACCTCAGGAAATGATAAATGTTTAAAGTGATGGATGTGCAAAATACTGGTTTAATTGTCACACAATGTGTACATGTATCAAAACATCACACTGTACCCCTTAATTATGTACAATTATTGTGTCAACTAAATACAAAATAAAACTTCAGAAATAAAACAATTTAAGGCTACATCGATTTTAATATCATTTTAGAAAAATAAAATTTAGAGAAAAATTTAAATATTGTAGCAGCTTCCAATTTCCTAGAGACATTTAGATGTACAAGTGATAATTAAAATCCTTTCAGATGATTATTGAAACTATATTCCTGCTACTTAATTTGATCAGGTTTTTTTTTTAACTAGGTCATTACATTATGTATAAAGAAGTGAAGAACAGTTGTCAGAAAAATGATTACACCAAAAAAACAGAGAAAATCTTATTTCTTTGCAGATTTGTTCTTGCTTCTCATATTGAAATTCTAGGTGAAGCCTTACTCTATGGATAAATCTACTTCCTCATAAAGCCAAAACTTTATCAGAAGGGGACGACTCAGTATAGCTGATGAGTGGAAGACAGATTGAGTAGAGGATCTGGTAATGTTATTTGTATTTTCTTCAAGAGAGAAAATATTGAGTAGAACATTCCCAGAATTTGACAAATAGCTCAAAATTTCTGGTTGCCAGACAGTTGTCCTACCCGTTTTTTTCACAGTTACAAGTGTTTGGATACTAATGCATTCCATTTTCTTAGAGGCAGAGGAATAAATAGAATGACCATAAATCAAATAATGAATGGCTAGGTTAGAACTTGTGTTTACTTTTTCCAACTGCTTTATTCATTTTGCTTACTTGACGTGTAATGCTTGTTCTGTGGTAAAGGGTGCCTAGTCTTTTGCTCTTGAAGCAGGAGTATCACATCTTTTGGTCTCACAAACCTAAAGTTACTTGCTACTCAGATGTGTCCCATTTAGGGGGATACAGTATGACTAACACAAGTCCCTGTCTTCAAATAGTTTCTAGTCTAGCCTTCCACCAGTACAATGTTTTTTAAAAACACATTTGTTAAAGTCATCTTTTAAAAAACTGCAAAATCTAGTTATCTAACGTTTTGTAGCAAGTAGAATGACAAATCATGTTTTTATCTTGTGATAACCTTTGCTAGAACTATGTTGCTTATTTAATATTTTTCTAGACTTTTGTATATAGCATGAAAGCCTTTTCTTAAAAATACTCATGAGGGCTGGGGATTTAGCTCAGCGGCATAAGCACCTGCCTTGCAAGCAGGTGGTCATGAGTTTGATCCCCAGTACCGGAAAAAAGAAAAAAAAAATGTGTAGAAAAAAAAAATACCTTAGTTTTTCCTGGATAAGCAGTTTGGGTTTTTTTTTTTTTATTGTTGTTGTTCTTGTTGTTTTGTTTTGCTTTTTTTTGCTATTAGCAAATCTTGTTCTTAAAATTAAGAAGAAGATACTTCGTTACATAGAAAGGACCCTTGCACAGTTCCTTCAGAGGAAATAATCCCATGTCCTTCATGGAATATCTACATGATAAAAGGGGTTGATGGATGGAGGTCTTACTTATGAAATATATGGATAATGTCATTTTCAAAAATGAGATTTCCATTACATGCCCATTGCTGGGGTTTCATTTGGAAAATTTGTTTACTCTTCCCTTGGGATCCCATATGTTAGTTGATTTATAAATCATATTTACAATCCAATTAAATAGAGTAATTTAACATGTTTGCTCCCAGTATATTTATGGTGCACATTTGGTAGTCTCTACTCAGCCTAACTAGCTTTTCAGATTAATTACATGCCCCTCACTGAAAACATTAAACAGATTTGGGGAGTTTAAGTCATGTACTCCTTTACTGGAAAGAATAAACAAACATCAGCGCTACCTGTCATTTCCTTTGCGGTAGAAAAATGTACTCTTTCAGTGATTGCTTCATAAATGACAATTACTTTACCAAGTAGAGATTTATATATTTTACTGATGTCAAATTTCAAAATTAATAGTGAGAAAATTGATGTGATTATTGAGTCACTAGAACATGTGACGATGGCAGGAGGAGGCAGGTACATTTTGAAGCATGTTTGTTCTCTTTGTTTATTCCTTTTTTCTAAATTTCTGAGTCTGAACTTCAAAACTAAAATGAAAAATTAAGACAATGTCCCCCCCCATAGTCTAGGTCATTATTTAATCTGAGGGAAAGCTGAGCTATTTTTTCCGCCCTCCTCTCCCCCCTCTCTTTTTCTTTCTGCAAACACTTTAGCCTCTCCTTGCCTTTTTCTACAAGATGAAGTCACTTCTCTGAGCTGCTCTTTGTATATTTTTTCTGTCGCACAAAAGAGAGTTTATTACTAAAGTGACACTAACTATGCATTGTGGATTTTAAGGACATTGAAATGCTTTATACTACCATAAATAATAGCATAAAGCAAGTTTGATACCTGAGACATTTGGCTTCTATAGAAAAAGTAGTTTTTATTTTTGTTAACACTCGATAAATTAATATAGTACCAAAGTAAGCGAGACCTGAAGTAAGACCTAGATTCAATATTTTACCAAGTTCTAGGAGAACTGAGATGAGAATCCAATCCAGTACAGTTTCTGAGGGTCATATTCCAGGGTCAATGTCCCTGAGCAAAAAGACGCAGGCCTCTATTAGTATAAACACTGCAAAAGAATAGTTAAAGAGTCCTAGAAAAGACTCAACATGGAGCAGTCATTCCTAAGGCCAGGGTATAAGGGAAGAGAGGGTGACAAAGCAAAAGTTTCAGGGAATTATAATTTAGGATGACAGATTAAAGATTCAAAGGAAAAAATGGGTAAGAAAAAATGTAGTTATCACAGAAAATAGAATCTGACACTAGATATTTTTGCTACCTATTTTCTCATGTATATTAAATCATGTAACATCATTTATTTGTAAAATACTACATAAAGAATGAGACAAGAACCTCTACCACTGAACTGTACCTCCAGCCCTTAGAATCCTTGTTTTGTTTTTCTGAGGGCATACTGGCATCAAAAGTATTGGCTACTACTGTCAGAAGACCAAATGCAAATGAAAACACATTTCTAGAACTTTATTGAAATGATCCAACTCCAAACTAATTTCTCATAGATTATTGGAAAATCCTGGATTAAAAAGATCAAAAGTATAATCTGTATGCAATGCTGGATTTTCCTTCTTGCAATTTGATAGCTACCTTGATATTTATTTGCTGACAGCCTTAAAGTGTCTTTCCTTTAAGATGTAGGTAACCAATCCAAAAAAACAGGAAATAGCAATTTTTAAAAAGAAGAGATAAATGAGGCTTTAACAATAAAAACTGAGGACTAGAAGAGGAAAGATCTTTTCTAGATGTTATCAAGAGATGCTCTAATTTGAGATTAAATTGTGCCTATCTTCTAATTGTTGAGGCAAAGTAGCATGATATTCTACAGAGGACCCTGCATCAGACAGGAGTGATGTATTCTTTTAATATTTAGCCACTTTGCCTGGAGTAAATGAATAAACCCCTTCATATATAACCTTGTATCTAAAATCACTTTAATTTGCAACAATGATATGCAAAAGTAGCTTCTTTGCTTATGATAGTGTACTTTGTTAAAAGATATAACATCACTCTTGGGGTCTCATAAAATACATTTTAATTTCAATTGAACACTATTATATGTAATACATAGTGTATAATATATATCATTATATAGCATATAATATATATCATTTTGTAATATATATATTATAAACCAATAGTTTATAGTGAAGTAAAATTTGTTAGTCCTTATAATTTTAAAATATTTGGTCCCTGTGATACAGGAGATATTCAAGAAATTTTACTTTTTCCATTCCCATTATTCAAAATGCTGAGAAACAGAAGAACATAACATGTATGTTTTTAATCAACCAGACACAGGGTTAACTCTGAAATTTTTTTCTTCTTTTGTCAGAAATCCATAGGCAATACTAAGTCACATCGATGTACATGTTTTACTCTAGGCATATATTTATATTTACTCCATGTATATATTTACACATGCTTTACACTGAGAAAAGTTATTCAGAGCCCACCATTGTATTCTCATAGATGTAGGAGTGAAAATAATAACCAAAATACAATGTCCTATATTCTGTCCCCCAGCATGCGCAGAAAGGTGGGGGGAGAACAGATTTTTATAAATGTTTTAACTTAAATGGACAAAGTATCTAATTTTTACCCAATTTACTTAACTCTACAATTAAATCAGGTTTCTAATACAGTTCTAGTATTTATATTTTCAGTAGGAAAAAAGTTGATGTGTTAGTCCATTGATGTCACTACCAGGAAACAGGACTTGCTCTTTATCTGTAAGTAGTATAGAAATTGAGGAGGAAAATTAAGCCACTTGAAGAAGGGCGCGGAGTGTTCATGCCAGAAGCAGGATTAGAAATCAGGGTGTTTTTGGTGTTGTTAATAGTAACGACAACAACAGTAATTTACTGGATGCCAAGAGAGCCATGGTTTCTAGGCAGGTTTGCCTGCCAGAGCTGTTGCATTTTGTTTGCAAACGAAGATTTTACATCTAAATTTATTTTGAAATTTATACACGTGGTTTAAAAAAATTCACATTATACAGCTCAAAAACCTTCTACAAAATTTCCAATTTCAAAACCACGCATATGCAGTTCTTTTGTATTTGGATAGACTATTTTCTTTTTGATAAAGGGAGCCATGGAAAAATACTCTCAATTTTTGTCTTAAAAAAAATTTAAAAACCCACCCTTCCTCCCCCCAAAAACCATCCAAGATCCTCACAAGACGAAGTGCCTGATTACCTGTCCTTTGTCTAACAGGCATTTTCAGTGTTACATTTTAAAGCACGGCCCATGTTTTACTTAACAAAGTCTTGATCATTTTGAGTCACTAGCATGGCAGCCCACACTCTGCCCTTTTTTACAGAGAGTGAAAGCTACCCCAACCAGGCTCACCACAAACACCCCAACAAACAAAACCCAAGCACTGTGAGCTGATGAAGGCAATCTGGGTAACTGAAAAGAATCTAAGAGTATTTAATCTCCATTCATTATTTTTTATTTTTAAAAATTTTTAGCTTGGAGCTTTCACACATACACATATTGCATCTTGATCATTTTTAGTCCCTCTGTACCTCTCTTCCCTCTCAGTCACTATATATTCTTTTCTCACCCTCTCCGTTCTGTACTTCCAAACGGTAAAAGCAAATATTGTGACTTCTCTAGTTGTAGCTTTCTTAAAACTTCTGTGGAAAGAATAATACCTTGCCTTTCAGTGTGTGTGTGTGTGTGTGTGTGTGTGTGTGTGTAAGTCGCAAAACTGTGAATACTTTTAGAATATAATTAAGGTCAAATAAAAAAAGAATCAGAAATTAAAGTCAGAATAATATTCGCTTACTCAGAAACTGCTTTCTGCTTCTTCCTGAGAACCTGCAAAATGTTGACTACTGCAATGTGATGATTTTCCACCTCTTTTCCTCTCAGGCACCAAATGGTCTCCCAGCTGTGAGCAGTTTTGTGTCCGCATCCAGCATGGCTCCTTACCCTGCCCCAGCCCAAGTGTCGCCTTACATGACCTACAGCGCTGCTCCTTCTGGTTACGTAGCTGGACATGGGTGGCAACACACCGGTGGCACTCCACTGTCCCCCCACAACTGTGACATTCCCGCGTCGCTGGCGTTCAAGGGAATGCAGGCAGCCAGAGAAGGTAGTCATTCTGTCACAGCTTCTGCACTCTGATGGCAAATTCCATCTCCAGCAGCTACACTCGGGGATCCCCCTCTCAGCACAGCCTCTCCCTGCTCCCACGTTTCGTACCCCACCCCTGCTGCCCCCAGGCCCCCTGCCTCGAGAGCTGGCTTGATGGACTCACATCCTTTGTGCTGATGACACTTAAATATTTCTTGCCATAACTTCTTTTTTGCAGAAAACCTGACATGACTTTAGGATTTAAAAACAAAAGCAACCTTACGGATTGAATAAAACGTTTGTGTTGCCCACACACTGTTTTAAGGAAGAAACCTACACCCCTCAAAGGGCTTAAGGAACTTTTAAAACTAGTCTTTGGTAAAACCACACTTGTATATTTATTCTAAAGCAACCTGAACTTTTGAAATGTGCAATGGTTGAGATTTTGCAAAATCAATAAAGGAAAACACATGCAGAAAAAAGTTATATTACACCCTCTAATCAAATAAGGTGACCAAGTAAGCCTTAATTCATCATTAGGAAATCAATCAATAACTGACTTGAGTGATCCTTTGTCTGTTTTTAAGAGATGACCTATTTTGTTTAAAATGATGTAGAATTCAAAGCAATTTGTCTACTTAGCTCCTCCCGGCGTTTTGACTTGGCTCCAAATGCAGTAATGTTTATATTTTCTACTTGTAAATATGGACTCTGGATGGTGCATTGTGTCTTCATTCCATGGGGTATTCCCTGCCTTTCCTTCAACCCTTCTCCCTCTGTGTCCCCCTCCCCTCCCAGGTGACTTTCTGGCAACATCCTTGTCTCTGTTTGGTGGTGGGCTTCTTGGGCTCCTGGACCTGGACTTGCCCCCAGATTTTGTGTGTGCAGTGAAGGCTTCAGCATCTCATGAAGGAAACTTTCTTTCTACAGCAGAGGACTCAAATAACAGATAAAGCAAGCCAGTCTCCTATTTTGTACACTAATCAAACAACACACATACCAAGCATATAAAAGGCAAGAGGGTGGAAACTATCTGAACAAGAAGGCTCTAAAGAAAGTCACTTAGAAACAAGTTTAATGTGAAATGTTTTGCAAAGACATTTAAAATGAACTTTCTGTTAAGAAAACCACTGTGAAACTAAATTGTACTGTTGTTGTTGGCTTACCTGTGTGCTCAGCAATCTCAGCCCAAAATTATGTTGTAACTTAAACAAAATGGAAAACTCTGCTCTAATGAATGTAACAATGGCTTGCTGTGAAGTTTACATTGTTGTATAGAAGCATGTTTCACGTATAGGCAAACTGGTGGTGGTATTAGAAAAACAAATACTATTTAATTTTAACAAATTCCCTTTATTCATTTCTAGAATTACAGGACACAGATTGACAAATCTTTCTAGGCCAACTTATTTTTCACTTTATTGTTAATAATAGAGCTGTGGAATATATGTGTGTGTGATCATGTTATGTGTTGTATTTTAAAACATTTGATTTTGGGGGGCAAAATTCTAGTTTTTATCCCTTCTGCTTAGGAAGTTCTCTCTGCTTGACAACACAGGTTTAAAACATTTTTAGAACATTGGAATGATTCATCTATTGGAAAATTAATATATTGTAGGAATTTTTTGGGTATTAATTCTGTGCAATAACTAAAGGGCACCTCACTCAATGTGGATATTAAAGATGCATTTGTCAGGTGATTTGACTTCTTCGTATCTGTGCTGTGCACAGCAACATGGAAATCCAGTTCTGCCACATAGGTCTCATGGCTTCAGTTAAAACTCAGAAGTCTAGGTCAGCTAGTTTTTTAAACTGCCGAGATGTAAACAGTAAACAGTTTTCTGACACACACGTCATATTGGAAGAGCTGATTTTTTTTAAAGTGCATGTTTTATAGAGAGCTTTGAACTGCATTTATTTCTAAAGCAATTGAGTTTCAGTGCTACAAATAGAAGATTATAATTCCAGGAGAAGAATAAGAAGAAGGAGCAGATGAACTCTCAGGGCCATAGTGTTCCTTTGATATTGTAAAACTCCCATTAACATCTGGAGTTCCCAGTCTGGTGAGGAAATAGACTATAAATGGGATGCAAGAAAGATCCAATCCAATATTTTGGTGAAGATTTTAAAACCATACTGTACAGTGACTCACCTGGCATCCAGAAAAACTAACATAAGGTACAAAATTATTCTTTATCAAATATTTTCAACTGACTATGAGGGGGTCTTTAAAAAAATAGTAGTGCTTATATGGAAACACAACTTAAATGTTATTTTCTCTTCCTAAATTAAGAAATTCTTGTTATTATTTATAATTTTTTCTGGTTCTCATGTTTTTTTTAATCTAGTATTAACAATATCAATGTTTTCTTTTTTCCTTTTGTTTCTCTTCCCAGACTTTATTTTAACAGTTAATTCATACAGAATAATTTTGAAAAAGAAAATACAACAAAGTCCAAATATAATTTGCTAATCACAGCAAATTATGACTTGAAGCCAATTTTAAAACTATGAGGAGGAAAATGGAATGAGTTATATTGTTGGGACTGTTTGAGTTTTAAACCTTGTTGTTTTTGGTTAATGTTGACACATTTCCCCTGTTCCGTAGAGGGATGTGTCAGTTGTGAACTGGCAAATGCACTCTTCAGAAATCCTTTGCTATCTCTTCTACAAGGAGAAGTGAAGGTTGAATTTCACGGCCCCTGTGCATGCAGTGACTCTTACAGGACATGGAGTATTATCTGCAAAGATAGAAGGCAGTTGTGTGACACACACATTCTCATTTCTATTGATTTTCTGTTTTTAATCACCCACTTATTAAATATTGGGCTGAAATATAAATTAAAAAACATGTCGGAAAGGATGTACAGCAGAAGGCTGTGTATGTATATACAGGATGTTAAAAAGCCTTTTATTTTTATACTTAAAAATGCTCTAAATTAATAAAAATTAATAATTACCATGTAATCTTTACTTTTTTTTTTCAAAATACCTCAGTAAAATAGGCTCACCATTAAAAATGCCCTAGTATAATGGTTAAGAACATGTATTCTCTAGAGCATGCAGATATTTTTGTAGATGTTAGCTACTGAAGTAGCATCATTTCAGGATGTGAACACAAAATTGACTTTGGTTATATCAAGACCAAGCAGCTAGTTTTTAGAGTGCAAGTTAGTACAGGAATCCTTGGAAATGCTAAGAATGCTCTTCTATTTTGAAACATTTTTATCATGCATATTTTAATATTCTAGACAGTATATTTTGCACCTGAAGCTGTCACTTAATACCAGTAACATGGGAATATAATTGTAGTCTATACGTTCTTCTAAAAAACTACATGGGTAAAAGATTTATACGAAGGTATTTGGGTACAAATACAGAGAACACAATGGGCTCAAAGAACACTGCTGATTTGTGTTTTAAAAAGAAAACATCTCAGTAATAAACCTTTCTGCAAAGTGAACTGTTAAAGGAAAATGTCTCATATAATCTCTTGTATTCTATTTGTAATCAAAGACTTTGGATAGCATGATCTAAAAATTCTGATTTAACTATGTTGAAGTAGACTTAAAAAATAGAACTGAGGTATATATTAAAGACAACCAAAAGATTTATATTTTAGCATGGATTCATAAAATTAAGCATTCTTAAAAGGCCATCTTAGTGTAAAGACATTTTTCAGCTCTTAAAATATTATGGGAAAAATTCCTTATGAAAATGTTTAAATTTTAGCTTTTTTGTCTGATTTTTCTTCAAATAATTCTTAAGGAATTAAGACAGGATAATTTATTCTCAAGAATTTTAAGCATCTGTAGGTGTTTTAGAAAAAAATTATCACTACAATGAATTTTCATTGTGAGGCAGAATAAGAGGCAAAACTTATATTTTATTGATCAGTGTTTTATTATTTTAGTTATTTGTGCAGGAGTGCAGTGCATGTTGTTTACATTCCTTTTGTGGGGCTGGTACATGTACAATAACACATCTTAATTCCTTTCTCCTTTCCATCCCTTCCCCCTCCACCCATCCCTTGATCCCCTTCCTCTCTGTAGATGTTTGCAGTTCATAATGTTTACATTCCTTGGGTGGAGATTATACACTACTTTAATATTTTACTCAAATACCTCATTGCTTCCTATTATTTTTCAAAAATTTTATATTGCTCTCATATGTTTCTTTGCTATTTAATATTCAATTTATACACATAATTGTTTCATACTACTTTTCACAATGTATCTTATTGGTTCATTATCTATCTATCTATCTATCATTTCTGTATCAACCCTTTATGTATCTCAAGCTACCATCTCAGATTGCCTAAAGATAAACTCTAAAGTATCAAGCTGTTCTTGACCAAGCTGTTTTGAACCCTTCCTAACTGTATGCCTAGCTTAGCTGATCAATAGTGTCTCCTCTTCATGGTGCTACAGAGTAAATATCCATTATCTCCAGAGAAAACATTTCCTTGGCAATCACCAGTTCTCCTGCAGCCATGAATAGGTGTATTCATAAACCAGCAGCATCACTGCACCTCCTAGAAAAGAAAAGAGCTTTTTTAAAATCACAAATTCTGTGAAACAGCATTGTCTTCTCCTGTTGTTTCCGAATCCCATGGAGTCTCAGGCAGCTCACCGGGCAGTGGTTGTTCTGGAGCTCTGATACACGAATATAAAGCTATTGTGGAAAACTCTCAGGGTAAAATCAAGACCATCTTGAGTCTCTAAATACATTTTTCCCCATGAGTTTCTGCAACTTTCATAATTTCTCATTATGTTCTTTTTAAGGCACTTTTAACAAGTAAATAAATAGAGACATATTTAGTCATGTATGGGAATGTGGCTTTCCTGTGAACAAAAACCTTCAGATTCTTCATATGTCCACAAAGGAATTTATCTTTTTTACTCTATAATTAGCATTATCTTAGTGGTGTTCAAGAAGAAAATCTCTAAGGTGGTGCATGATAGATAAGTCTCTTTTCTTAGGCTTCCAAAGTGGGTTGTATGTGAAAAATAAGCTTCTCACTGTTTTTAAAAGCCTGTATTGCAAAACTCAACGAAAGGAGATTGGAAGCTAATCATCATTCCATATGTCTGCTTTAGATGTATATAGATTTGAACTTGAAATTCTGATAGGGGAGTTGAGTAGGCATAAAACCACCATTTGTCTTAGAAAAGTTTTATAAATGGCTGCAAAGGGGAAGCAGGATATGATTCAGAAATAACAGGTGCCAAGGCTCTGAATACCTGGACCTTGGGAGAAGCATTTGCATATGGATCATTTTGTGTTTTCTCTGATGCAATAAAAAAGTGTGTCCTGTACCTTAGGATATTGTTTAAACTGTGTGAAAAGTATTATAAAACAAAATGTGGACAAATATCCAGAGCACAACTCTGAAGATCTGGTTGCCTGAATAGAAGATTGACTTCTGATGGAAAGAAATAGAACTTCATTTATGCTCACTTAAAAAAAATGCTATAGACTGCACATGTTTGTGTAACCATATAACAGAAACAATTATCTGCCTGCAATTTTAATTTTTAACCCATTAAAATATTTGATTTGGCCTTCTCAGACCTCTTAGAACTCTGACCAACAAACAAAAAATAGATGCACTACATGAGGAACTACTATATTCACTCTTAACTGCTCACAGTGTAATACAAGAATACGCAGAATTAGGTTGATTTTCTGTCTACTTGGACCAAGAGTTTAAACCACGGACTTGTAGGAGGCACTTGATTGTTAGCCCACATAAAGCTGCTAAGGCTGTTATAAAAATAATATTGGATGTTTCTCCAAAATGATGAATGAAAATTACAGATTCATCTCTCTGTCTGCCTGTCTTCTGTCTCTGTCTGTCTGTCTGTCTCTGTCTTTCTCAATCTCTCACTCTCTGTCTCTGGATTTTGGTTGGCCTTAACTCAAAAGCCTTACTTTTCTCTCTATTTTCTTCCTTCAAAGTTGCTGGGATGTGTACCTTTGAAATTAAGTGGGGGACACGTCTTCGAATGAGGTTATCAGCTATTCACAATTTTGCTTAGGCTCGACAGTAAGTTCACAAGGCTTCTTACTGAGTTTATCACTACAGCAACTCAGAGCCTCTCATGCAAAAACATTTAAAAGCCCAACCAAACATTTGCAAGCCTCTAATAACAAAACTTGGGGTCAGATTATTTAACAGCTTTAGATTAACGTTCCAGTCAGTTACCATTTTAACTATACTCTGTCTGGTCACCTTTTTTTAGGCCCATGCTCATTCTGAGAAATTTGGTTTCAGGACAGTCCTGTGATTTTCTCTAACGTTAGGTCTACTGGCAGGTTTTTACTGTGTGGTGAGGGAAAAATGTCACATGTAGTAATTGCAAAGATGCACAAAATTGCCAATGTTCTTTATTATTGGGTTAGTTTTTTACATATAAGCCAGTGACCAACAGAAGGCAGATCCCAAACTGAAATATGAAATCTATGCTTAAATATCTGCAAATGTAGGGGTAGATATATTGTGAAAGTTTCTTTCTAAATACATACTCTATTCACTAGCTTTAATTTACAAACTGTTGTTCTTTATTTTAGGTTGGCAGAAACGACAGTTTACTGGGTTAAGATCTAAGGTAGCTGTGTATATGCTCAAGTGCAGGAGGATGCAGGTGTAAAAAGGGAGGATTGGCAAGAGGTTAGTGAAAACAAAAAGATTCCTAGAGAGGATCACCAGGTTGTCTAAATAGGGGGCAGGCTCCAGCCCCACCCCACCCCACCACAGTGTGGTCTAGGGCATACTTTTGGACTTATGTACAAGGCTGTTATAATGCAAGACCATGTGCCCAGCGATTGAGTCTGCAGCAGTTATTTTCTTATCTATTTACATAGAAGCAGCTGGCTTTCCCTGTGGAATGGCAGCCAGGTGTTCTGTTTTATTTGTGCTGTGGCATCCACAGGTAAGGCTAAGAAGCCAAGAGCCTCCACCATCCAGGAAAGGCCAGGAAACTGAGGACCCTACAGTGGCATCACCAGGTCCCAGAGGTGCCCCTGGAAAGAAGGGACTATCGCGGCTCCAGGAGGCAAGCTGTCCGCCTTCCTCCTTTTCTCTTTTTGAAATGAAATTGAGGTAGGATTAAGAGTCAACTGGAAGCATATGGAAGGTTTTACCAGGAAGATTCCTCACTCTGGGAACATCCATGACTTCACCCAAAAGCCCCTCGTACTTTGGTGCTCAAACTCCAACTGGCTGTGCGTTCTTTCCTTTTTACTTAACCTGGGCTTTGCTTTCCATCAGCCAGCAAAGACATAAACAGTTCTTTAAGAACAAAGGTAGAACATTTCTAATGAGTGCCTTCAGTGTCTGGACTACTCATAGACAACTTTACATCCTGAAACATTCCGTCTAACCAAGTGTGGTAAATTTTGTGTTTATTGTTTTGCTGACAGATGCAAGTAACAAGGGACACTGGGAAGCAGAATAAATAAAGTATCATTACCTGGTCCAAGTCTCATAATCTTGGGAAGCAGGCCTTTATATAAGGCAAAAATCCTATAATCACGAAGAAAAAAGCAACATTTTTATTTTGAAAATAAAGGAACTGGATCTCAGTTTTATTGAGATACTAACTCAGAATTTAGAAGAAACTCTTTGAAATTATACCCATTTCAAACCTGACAGTATCTGGCTTTGAATTCTCTGCAGCAAATTGGATGAGGAGAAAGAGTTAACCAATTCTTTATTACCCAGGCAATGCTGGTTTTATCCAATCAGAAGCAGGACTTTCATCAGCGAGATGGGTTTTGCTTTCAAGACAGGCCTCGCTTTCAAGATAGCTATGTATATGGACAAAATGGCTTTTGTAATTGAATTTAGAAGACCGCAAACTCAGTCTTCACATTAAGAAACATGATGTGGTTTAGATTATAATAATAGGACGGGGGATTTAGCTCAGTGGCACAAGCGCCTGCCTGGCAAGCACAAGGTTGTGAGTTCAATCCCTGGTACAAAAAAAAAAAAAAATAATATAGTATCACTTGTTTACTTGAAAATAAGATTGGTGAGGAGGAGTGAAGAGATGGAAAGTAAGGCTTAAAAAAACAAGAAAAATGCACACATCTTTAAAAAGCCTCAGCTTTATGCAATTCTCATATTTAATTCTCCTGGGAGAATACAATTAGGTGAATTTTGATTAGATTCATAATCAGAAGGCTATTATTACCCACCCATAGTCCAGTAGGACTTACAGTACATAATAGCATATTATGTAAACTGACAAGTAAAAATTTCATCTTAGTGTTCTAAGGCAAACATGCAGTGAGTTGCATGATCGTGCCTCAGAGCACGATCTTGATGGTACAGGAACATTTTGTCAACATCTCATTATTGTGTCCCCTTGCAAAATTTGTTCTATATTCCGGGAGCTCCTTAGACACACCCAATTTAGGAGGGCTTACTGGTTGTCATCAAACTAGAAGTACAATATAGTCTTAACACTATTTGAGCCTTGTACATTTATGAAAGTAAGAATGTGTTACCCTTCTTCCTGATAGACTGTTGCCATTGTTTTAAAACAGGTTCTGTACTTGATTTCTCCAGGAACTGGCTGAGGCCCTTGGATCCGACTTTTGGCAACATCAAAAGGGATATTAATGACTGAGGCCATTGTCCCCGAGAGAAGACCAATCCCAAATTTTCTCAAGAACTCTAAGGTTGGATCCTAAAAAAAAAAAAAAAAAGAAGAAGAAGAAGAATAAAATAACCGAAAAGGAAATGGAAGTCCCTAAATTGGTTAAACACTATAAAGCTATACGTATTTAAGCAGAGCCCTGCACTCCCCGGCACCCTCCTGTTATTCCAGCGGAACACATTAGGATTTCCTAGGCTGGAACTTGTTTTCTTGACAATCCCATTGGCTATGTTTTTACACATGGTCTAAATTGCTGAAGTACACATTTCCTCACACAGGATTTATAAACACAGTTCATAAAGAAAGACTGGTATGGCATATGGGGATGATTTGTATAATTGGGCTTCACAATGTACTTAGTATTACTGTATCAAAACAGGAGAAATCCAAGCACACTATTAGCTAATTGGCCAGAATATTTTACAAATGACAGCAACTTCCACCATGAAGCCTACTAAAATGCTCATTTGTGTGTGGACCCCCAAATGTTAAATTAAATCAAGGCTACTCTCGGTCTGCTGCTATTCCCCTCCAGGTTTTTTGCATTTATTTTCACGTGTAGCTGATCCACTGTACTGAGAAGTGCTAGCTTCCTGTTATTAACAAACCAACTTGGGGCGGCTGCAAAACAGCCTGTGACATTCTGTGCATTATGAACAGCAGTGAGTTACTGGACTAATTGGCTGAAGAATTTGCAACTCATTGTTCCTGAATCTTACTCTTCATGGCAAAAGGAAAGAGAGAGAGAGAGAGAGAGAGAGAGAGAGAGAGAGAGAGAGAGAGAGAGGAGAGAGAGAGATTTGCTCTATTTGAATATTTGAATTTAGGCCCTTCACATTGGTCTGATTTGATTTTCCACCCCTCTCTCCTCTGCTTTCTGACATCAAAGTATTTAATTAGGTCTTAGGTCTTATGTGGGAGTCACTTTCCTTCAGAGTATTTTTGTGCCCAGCAAGCTCACATTATGCTTTGTTAAAATGAATTTTCTGGGAAGTTCTCATTACGTTTGCAGCCTCAGTTCTTGCCCTAAAGAGAAATCATATCACGTATTACATGGCGCTGACTCTGACCCCCACCTCATCCTTCTCCTGCTCTCTCTTTTGGTGTTTCAGGTGCACTGTCACAGACAAACAGCACAGGGTTATGCTACCGCACTATTTATCCCGCAGAATTAAAGAGTGGCAAGCATACTCTGTTATATGTAAATAAGCCAACCAACCAACCAACAAATAAATGAAATTCAAATCTGAGCACTACATGTTTCTAGCTTCTATAAAATAAGAAAATTTCTGGAAGCTCTGAAATCTTCAGCTGAACCCACAGTCAGTTACCATCACAAAAACTCCTATGAGGCTAAATATAAAAAGCAAGGGATTCAGTAATAATTCTTGGATCTGGGCCATACAGGTGCTGAGGAGGTTTAAAGGGATTTACAAACCAACAGGGTGTTTCTACAGGAAAAACAATGCAGTGATTGCAGCATGAGTGAGGTGTGTTTAAATAATTCCCCCTCCCCCCATTTTTTTCTTTTACAAGGAGAGAAAAATGCCTTTATGTTGCCCTTTTCCATTATGGTACAGAGGCAGAACTGAGCTTTGGAGGATGGCAAATTCAACACTGGCTCTGATCATGGATGAATCACTGAATCTTGCAGAGTACAGTCAAGGGAGGGAAGTTTTTAACACCTAGCTTACCGGTGACTGAATCAGTATTTTCAAGAATAAAAGTGCCAATAGAAGTAAATGTGCCATGAGTGTTGTACAAGCCTAGCAGAAAATGGGTAGTAGTGTTATGTAACCTGTTTCAAAGAGTGCAAAGCATCCGGTAAAATGATTCTGTCATGGTAGCTCTGTAACACAGCTGACTTATCTCTCTCTTTCTATTAAGGACAGGTGTGAGTATTATGATTTACATGCACACTGTCACCCTGAGTTCAGGGGACCACATCAAGCATTCATCCTTTCCCATTTCCTGATATATTTGCTGAGGATCAAAATTGAGAATGGAAGGTAAACTAAGACACCCAGGGAAGTCACTGAGTTTGAGACACTGTTTACAACCAAAACCTAAGTTCTCCAAGCCAGCAAAGTTTCACAAACACAAGTAGGTGTCAAACCTGAGATTTTTTAATTCATTTTCTAGTAAGATCCCACAGTATTTCCCAGATCCAGCTATGCATCAGAATCACCCGACGGCATCACATATAAAGATGTCTGGGCCCCATGTCCTATCTCAGTTCCCAGATCAGAATCCCTTGGGAAGGTTTCTGAAAGTGATTTTAAAAGTTGCCCGGCTGAGGACCCATTTCTGGGAACTAGTCATTTTGGTGTTCCGCACAGGCAAACACATGGCCAGCTGCTACCTCTGTGAGCATTCTAGGGAAGAAAAAAGTTGTCATGAGTTGACCACAGGGTCTCCCTTACCACTTGGCTTCTGAGCCCACGGTCAATCTCTTTCCTAGCTCCACAGTCTGCTTTTTTTTGCCAGCACCTGAAGCTGGGTGAGGTGGGCCAAGGAGCGCCCCCTCAGCTTATCTGTTTTCTGCGCTACCTCTCGCCAACCACTTTTAAGGGAGCCAGCCTCTCCAGCATCTCTTCTGATCATCCCCTCCTAGCTACCTCACCTCTCTGGCTTCGGTTCAAGTTCCCATTACCTTTGCCAGGTCTTGCTTGCTTCCTTCCTGCCCTCTAGAGCCTATTTTCACAAAGGCACCTGGCTCTCCTTTCATAAAACACTTCGCTTCTGGTATCTTCCTACTAAAAAATCTTCCCTACTGTCCTGCTGCAAAGCACTCCACTTGGCCTGTGGTTTCTTTCTCACAATAAGCTTCCAATTTATCTTGTTAGTCTCATGTGCTACACTCCTACCTTCAATCCATACTGTATTCACACTGGTTAATTCATAATTACCCAGATATTCCAAGCACCTTCCCAATTCAGAGCACAGTTGAGGCTAACAATTTTAATAACATCAAATATTTATGATTTTTGTGCCAGATACTGCCAAGTGTAAATGCATACACGTTGTATAAATTATTCTTTACAGATTTGAGGCAAGAATTATTTTTTTTTTATTGGTACCAGGATCGAACTCATGACTGCCTGCTTGCAAGGCAGGCGCTTATGCTGCTGAGCTAAATCCCCAGCCCCGAGGCAAGAATTATTATCACTCGTATTTTAAAATGAGTTAACTGATAGGTTAAATGTAAGGAGATAATTTTGTTTCAGACAAGTAAACCCAAGACTTTGCTTCAAGGATTACACGTTTTTTTCCTGATAATTTCTAAGTGCCGGTGGGGTGGGTTTATGGTGGAGGCATCCTGGTACCTCTTGAAACTGTAAGCAATGCTGCTGTGAATATGGGCTTTTCTGGGGAGGGTGGCTATAGGTTTTCTTGGGTTTATAAAAACTTAAAAATGAGAAATGTAATCATTACATACTACAAATGTACTAGTAAAAGTAAATGAAAACAACCTTAAGAATAATGAGAACATTTTATCTACTAATAAGTTTGTAAACTACCAAAAGGCAGTGTAGGGCTTTAAACACTAAGGCTAAAACTAAGGCATTCTAATTTTGACATGAGTTACTAGGCAATTCACCTTAGTGAAAAATTTCTCACACACAGTATTGCTATGGAGTCCCAATATATATATCCCAATGGTCTATGGATTCAGTGGTTCTCAAAGTGTGGCTTTTGTCCACCATCATCAATTCTATTGCTTATGAGAAATAAAAATTAGAGTTCAACCCCAGACTTAACTGAATTTGGGGAAGGAACTTAGCAATTTGTTTAAGTACGTTTTTTAAATTTTCTGATGGATGCCAAGGTCTGAGAACCATTCCTTAAACCTAGGTTATGATTCATCCTCTTTGGATCCCTGGGCTGGATAACTGATATTCTAAGATACTTTATTTTTATGTATATATGTATGTGTGTATGTATGTTGGTATTCACATATGTTTAAGATCAAATCCAAGGCCTCATGCATGCTATGAAAGTGCTCTAGCGTGCATTACATCCCCAGCTCTGCTACAATTCATCTTAACCACTGGCCCTACAAGTCTCTGGATATGCTGAGAAACATTTTAAAGCTTTTGTTAATGGAAGCAGGTCTTTGCTTCATTAAGGCTATTGACGTGAAGGCACTTCTGTTAACACTTCAGCCCCTCCTTTAAACCTCTCAGTCCCAAAACAAGAATGCATAGCTGTGAGGTTCTTTGGTCTAGGTGATATGACATAGTACATATGCTGTGATATTTGTATTATCTTTCATAACAGTCTCTATTAGTCACTTTTCCTTTGCTGAAACAAAATACCCTAACCCACAATTTAAACAGAAGTTTATTTGGCTCACAATTCCTAATAGGTTTAGTCCATGCTTGGCTAGTTACCAACCAGGACATGGTGGAAGGGAATGGGGAAGAAAGCTACGTAACCCATGGCTGCCAGGAAGCAGAAAGAAAAGGGGGCAGCTGGACACAAGAATGTATCTTTCCAGATCATGCTCCCAGTAACCCACATCTCCTATTTCTCAGTTGCCTTCCCAAAGCTCTACTTCCAAACAGATCAAACCTCTGGGGGGATATTTTAGATTTAAACCACAATACTATTATTGTGATAATTAATGCTATTATTGATGTTATTTATTGCCAGGAACAATATTATATGCAAAATATATAATATTTGACATAAATAAATAAAATAAATCCTACAAGTTCGGCACATGACAATATTTTACAGATAAGAAAACAGCTGTACAACATAATACTGCTTGTAAGAGGTGGAGACTGGATTGGAGCCCAGGATCTTCTGACACTCAAGCCTACGCTCCTGTACCTTATGTCATATTGCTTCTCATTCATCATTCTTTTATCATTTATCCAACCAAAAAACATTTACTGGAGGCTAGTCCTACTTGGGAGCTAGAGTTGTGTATGAAGGTGCATGATTCAGAGAGGGGGTTACCAGTATGTGTCTAATCAGTCATCCCAGTACAACATGATCCATGCAAAAGGGAGGCCCAAACA